CTCCTAAGCAGCTGGGATTACAGGCACGCGCCACCATGCCCAGCTAATTTTTTGTATTTTTAGTAGAGACGGGGTTTCACCATGTTGACCAGGCTGGTCTCGATCTCTCGACCTCGTGATCCACCCGCCTAGGCCTCCCAAAGTGCTGGGATTACAGGCTTGAGCCACCGCGCCCAGCCGGGAATGGAGACATTTTATTGGGAGCTTCAAACTCCCATCAGGAAAGTTATTTTTTATTACACACAAAGGGACCTCTATCTTTTCCTTGAAATGTCATATATGTGGTCCCCAAATATTTTTTAAAAAATAATTGGAATACATAATTATTTATTGTTCACTTGGAGACTTAAATTTTAAACGAAATAATACTTGATACAATGTTATTTCAATATCATTTTTGGAAAAATTAATTTAAAAATAAATGATTTTTCATCAGTTGCTATGAATTACCTCATTAAACTGCATTTCCTTTAGCATGTAGGTCTCCATGATGCTTTAATATTCCAGGAGACCATCCAGAAAGTATTGGGATTTTGACATTATTTCCAGATAATCAGATAATACTAGATGTGGTGTTATCTCCATTTTGAAAACAAGTAAACTCTTGCTTAGAGCCTAAGTAACCTGCCCAGGAACAGTGTCAATATGGTCATAACTGTGTTTCAAACTCAACTCAATGGGACTTAACACATCTTCCCCTGAACCATAGAGGAAACTTGCTTCTGGTGACATCACACTACATTTTCTGCTACAAATGCACTTTATTTACAGCCAACATAAGTCAGACATTGCTGAAAATCGTATTACAAGGTCTATCTAAAACATGTTTTGAGACTGAAGTGAAGAAATGCGTTTTCCAAATAACTAAGTTAATCAGAAATGATTTTTGCTTCAATCCTTGTGGTTAGACATTTTTTCTGAAAACTTATTTGCCTGCTTTCCAGCCTTAAATTCCACAACTCATATATCAACACATGCATTCAGGAAGTATTTAATGAACATTTATTATGTATCAAGTGCCTCACAACAAAGAAGATTAATGTTAATTGTAATGTAATATGTTCATGTGAAGCATATTATGAAATGGGAGGTAGAAGGTACAACGGTATACTGATTATAATTCATCTTTTTAATCTAAAGTTCTTTGATATATCAAGTCTATACCAATCAGAGTTAGTTCTTATTATATTAAACATAATGTGTCTTCAGTGTAGGAATATGAGCTAAACCTCAGGGTTTCTTGGGCAAAGCCAATATGTAACATTTTGGTCTACAAACTTTTAAAAATAATAATTTGATTCTACCCTTGGAATTACATTGCTGCAAAAGAAAGAGTAGGAGGAGTCGGCAGAGGAAAAGAAAGAAGAGAAAGAGGAAGAAAAAACAGAAAAAGAAATAATACTTAAGAAATCTGTTTTAACCATAAAAATATTTGTCAATCCCAACTGTGTGCCAAATACAGTGCCAGTCCCTGGGTGGTCAGAAAGGAGATGTATTAGAGTAAAAAACAGTAACACAAATAATTAAATCAGTGGCAAGTGTAGTGTAATCAAGAAAATGCTTAAAAATTTTTGATAAAGTTAATGAAAATGTGAGAACAAGTAACATACAGTGAACTAAATACATGAGGAGCTGATGTTTCATCTGAGACCTGAATAATAAAATATGCAAGGAGAAGGGAATCAAATATGCAAAGTGGTGAAGACATTCCAGGCCAAAGGAACAGCTTGTGCTGAAATTCTGAGGTAAAGCAGGGTACAGCATGATGTACGAATAAAAAGAATCTCACCTAAGCTGAAACTGATATCAGGAAAATAAGAGAGGTTTTGAAATTGAAGCAGATATGAACAGGTGCCTTCATTTCAGTTATTTTTTACTCTACTTTTGTTACTAGATCTAGGGAAAAGTGCTTCACGAAGGCCTGAGGAGAATGTCCTGGAACCTGCAATTATCATGTGTCAATAGAGAATAAGGGAAGCATCAAAACTAGCCGAGTATTTTTCTGGAGCAGAGTCCAAAACTGAGTTCCTTATGACTCTGTAAACAAGTACATGTGTTTCTTAATGCCTACCTGATAATACAATGTTAGAGGGCTGGATAAAATCTTAAGCAATATCACCAATAGCGATATTCTCTGTATAACAAAACAAAACAACATCGAGAGAATAAAATCTATTTCACCCACCCATTATAGAAATCACTTTTCTTACATCCTCAGTTTTAGCCAAGAAAGTAGATTAGCATAAGTCCTCTTTGGATTTGCTATTAATGCCATCCCATGAACCATTTAAGAAGAGTTTTAAATTTAATCTCTTCTCTGTTCCCTTGAATACACCCTTGAAAAAAATAATTATTTTCCAGCCTCATGGACACACACTACTTTTAGGTCAATAAAATTACTTTTTCTAGGCTTTCTTTCCTGGGGAGAAAAAACCGTGTTAGTTTACACTGGATTGCTTTTTTAACAATGAAGGTAATTAAGGCTTATATTTTGCAATGAGTTTCCAAAACTGCAATCTCCAAGGACCTATATTTGTAACTGCATTTTTCAATTGCCAATTAGATGAAGAGTATATCATGTGAATCCACTTAAATGTGCTCAGATCTACAAGGTAATCCCTTTGTAAATTTGGTGTTGAAGGGTGCTTTGTAGGGTAAATTCACTTTCAATTGTAGTTGGCCTATTAGAGTCATTATTTGACTTCTGATATATTCTAACATCTACATTATGATGAATTATATTCTCATGTAATTCCAATGTTTAAAATACTTGTAACAGTTAAGATTCTACCCAAGAAGTTCAAATTAAGGAAACAAAAAAAGGATATAATTATAAAATACAATAATAAATAGTAATTTCAATAGTAAATCAAGGAAAATCTTTCAAGAAACACACATTCTAGGCTTTCTTTTAATAAAGCATGTAATTTGAAATTTAACTAGACATAGTGAACTTTACTATGCTTTTAATGTTTTGTAGGTAATAATGTAATCTAATCTAATGTAGATATGTAGTTAGGTTCTAGGGATCCATTCAAATATTTCATGACTTTTGAGCATATAATAAATGCAGTAGAGTAATCTAAAGGAAAAGAAAGAGAGATTGCTATGAAGTAGCCCCCACCCTCAAAGAGCTGATAGATGCACCAAAAAAATCAATTAAACAAAATATTATGGGTTTCATGCTGGGAGTACATTCATAGCACAATGAAGTAAACAAAGAAAAAAATATTACAAGTGGAAAGTCCAAAAATGGACTTCATTTATTTAAGATGTTTAAAAGCAATAAACAATTATTTTATGTTTTCATTTAAAACTTTTATGAAGAAACAAAGGACTACCAACATCAATATGAGTATTGCATATATAGTTTATCTTCCAAAAGTCATCATTCATAAAATGAACAGTAGCCATCTTTCCGGAATACAGATAAAATGCTATTTAAATATAAGTGTGTATGTTTTAATTTGAAGATCTAGGTTAAAATTATAGCCTTTCACTTGTAGACTACATAGTGAAGAAAATCACTAAACCTCTCTGAACTCTGGTTTTATTATTTATGTATCTACTTGTCAGTGTCACCATGAGAAAAATAAGTAAGCTAATGCGTGTGAAGCCCATATCAGAATATTTGAATCCTAGTTAAATCTATTACAGTATCCAGTCACATTGAGGCATATTGTGTAATGTAAGTTTGGGTCTTCTTTTACTGTTAACTATGTAACAGTCTTCTTTGTATTCTTAGCACCTAAAAACATAACTGCTGTCTAATAAATGTACATAAAATGCCTGGTGGATATAAAGTTAGTCTATTGATTGTCGTTTCTATATAAAACTGGATAATGTATCTGAATATTTAATGTTCTTTAGATGAAAGGGAAAGCTTACCATTTGAAAAATATTTGTATTTTCATTGGGAACATTTAATACATATACATAGGTATCAAAGTATAGCCTAAATATTTAATTTTTAACCAGTATTAGGACTTTGCTTCTTAGTTTGAATTCTTAACCTGAGAATTGAAAATACTATAATAATAATGTATGTTAACCGTGCAGAGAGATTCATTGTTAAACTTTAGAGTAACATTATTCTAAAAGTTATTCTAAGCAAACACACATGTACACTAAGAAAGTATACTCATATTCTGAGTGTTATTTTGAAATTTTACATTTTCACTAAGTGTAAATAGTAAACAACTTATGTTAACAATTATAGTCATTTTTTAAAAAGTTGTATAACATTCTATTTTGTGGATATACCATACTAATATACAATTTTGTTTCTTATATGTAATGATTTAGAATAATAATGCATTTCTGCCTTTTATTGCATTATTCTCACTAGCAAACAAATATGTTACCAATAGCAAAAAGGTTTTATTCATGTAAAAAGTAACTCTTTAAAAATAGTTTTTAAAACATGTTAATGAAGTTAATATTTTAAGTTATTTATAAAGATATGTAAATATACATAAAATAATAAAAATAAATGATAAATATAAATTACAATATGTAAACATGCTTTAAAATATTTTTAAAAACTATCTTGACTACACCCTTTTCTGTATCCAACATCTCTGTTTCACATTATAAATTAATATCTAAAAATATTTGTCTACACAGTGATCTTTAAGATCTTTAAGATCTTTAAGATCTTTAAGATGTTTAAAACATTAAAAATGTTTTAAACATTTTTAAAAAGAATTTTGAAAAACTATATATCCGTCCCTTGTGTTTCAATTGATCTTTAATTTTTTCATTGTAAGAAGTACTTTGCAAATAACATAATATTTGCATATTAACGTTTTAAAATAAAACACCAATAATTAGACATATTGACATCATGTGCCTCTTGATACAATACTTTGAGAAGGATGCAGCATCAGTTCTATTATTTTCCTACCCCAAATGCATAAACTGAATTTAATCCTCAAGAAATATTGTAAAAACCCCAATTAGAAAACACTTTAGAAAATAACTGATCTATGTTCTTTAACAGTGTCAAGATAATGGGAGACAAAGAAAGAATGAGGACCTTTCACCAATTAGAGGTAACTAGGAACATGTGCTAACTGAATGCAATGTGTGTACTGAATGCGAAGTGTGAACAGGACTTCAGATTCTAGACCAGAAAAAGAATGAGTCGGATAGAGGGAGCTACTTGAATAATATCTGTGGCTTGGTGTTAAATCAATGCTTATTGCTAGATTTTTATTATTGCATTTGTGGTTATATATGAGGTTAACATTAAGAAGGCTGAGAGGATAAACAACATTTATCTTTACTATTTTTGCAATACTTGTAATGTCTAAACTGATCTTAGAATAAAAAGTTAAAAAATAAATTTTGAATCATTTTAGTTTTGATTAATGTTTGTATGCAATTGATTATAAACTATAAAGATATTAAAATTTTTAATAAATATTTTAAAAGATTAAAATTATTTGAAATGCAATATAAGGAAACTATTTTACAATGTATGTGCTTTTCAGTGGCTAGTGTTTAAAACTATGTAGGTCCAACGTCAATTTTTCTCTTTTTGTTTTGTTTTGATTTTGTTGTGGTTTTTAAATGTAAGAAGTGAAATTTCATATTTAAGCAAATTAAAGGATAGGAAAATAATTTTTTAAATCAATGAGAATTCTATAAACTTTTTATTTGTTTGTCCAAAATAAAAAAGTGTATTTTATAAATTAATAGCTGACAAATTTATTTAGTGTTCCTTAAAAAAATAACTGAAGACATTGTATTTGGGTCATTCACATTCTCATTTTCTGGAAGAGATATAAAATATATTATATTGAAATATATGAAATTACTGATAATTACATTTTTTAAAAAATTAGAGACAATGTTTAAATTAACATAATCAGAACATTTTGGGGAGAATTAAAATGTTATTAATTTCAAAGCACCAGCAATATTTGTTTTTAATAAAATACTTTTACTGCATGTCTTTAAAGTATTTTCAAAGTAAAATACTTTTACTTTTACTGCATGTCTTTAAAGTATTTTTAAAGTCTTGAAACTTCAGATTTACCTAATACAATTTTGGAAAAATGTCTACAATATAACATACTTGTAGAGCTGGTTTTCATTGTCAGACTAATTAACCAGATCAGACTTATTTTCTGTCAGGACAAAACAAACGTATACAAGCAAACAAACACATAATTTCTTAATTACATTATTGAAATTTTAAAGGAAAATTATTAAAAAATTAAATTAAGGATTGAAAACATCCAATAAAGTATATTACAAAAGGTAATTATATAATGTAATTAATTAATGTTTATTATTAGTTTTAAAACAAGTTACAATAACTAAATGTTATACATGAAACTATATGTTTCAATTATTTAGTAGGCAAAAGTATAATAAATAATATTTTTATGAATATATGTACATTTATAATTTGAATTTCAGTTATAAGTCTTTGGTGAATAGTTAATCATGTATAAAGTTCAGAAATATCTCCATCAATTTCATTAAACATTGTAGCAATCTTTTCCTGCTTATTTAATGAAAATAAGTCTGTGTGTGTGTGTGTGTGTGTGTATGTGTATATGTGTGTCTGTGTGTGTGTGTGTGTGTGTGTGTGTGTGTGTAGGTTATTAATCCTTTGTTAGTCACATTTTTTTCAAAAAGTTTCCCCAGGTTTTTAAAAAAACTTTTTATTTAGATATTACTGTGTAACTTGTATTAAAGCAATTCAAAAAATTGCAATTAATAGCTTCTATTAAAGCAATTAAAGAAAGAAGAAAGTTATTTAACTAGCTGATTCATGGTTAACTGCTACTTCCATGAATCTCTATTAACATTTCAATTTGTCATTTCAGTTTTCTAAACATCAGCAGCCAGTTTTGATATGAAAACATTAGTTTGCTACAGATTTTTAAACTGTTTCTCTTTGATTCTCTTATGCTCATATAAGCAAAGCAGTCTGGAGAAAGCAGAACTCGAATCAATGGTTAAGAAAGTTTAGAAGCAATTTTTATTTATGTCACATATTCTATAATTTATATCACAGATTCCTCCAAAGCACAATTATTGGTCTAATCTCAGCAGTATTAACAGACCAAGAAGCTTTTAGGAATCCCTGCCTCCACCCCCAACTCTCCCTGGTCTAGCAAATCCTTCTGTTAGAGGCAGAACACCAGGGGTTCATCTTTCTCTGGAGTGAGTTAAACTGACACTAAGCACAGTTGAGCACAGAGAAACTATACTGAAAATGATGGATTTTAGTGAAGGTCTATAAACTAAATGTTGGGCTCTTAGTCTTCAAAACCCACGCAAATACCAGTCTAAGCCCCACAGGTAGGATATTATTGAGCCTTTTCTAGGGACTGACCTGTCCAAGTGAAAACCCTAAAACTAAAATCAGAGGTTCTGTATAGAAACGGATTAGAAAAGTCAGTATACAGTAAAAAAGCATAATCAGTCAGCACCCCTACCCCACAAAACAAAGGAAGTTTCCATACATTGTTTTAGTGCTACATTTATAAATATAAGCAGTCTGTCAAGAAACATCAGAAAATTAAGAAGAAAATCTGACCTGAAAGTTAGCTTTAAGGTGATCAAGCAGAAAACAAACAAACAAAAACAAACAAACAAACAAAAAACAAAAAACAAAAACAACAAAAACAAAACAAAACAAAACAAAACAAAAAAATTATCAAGAAAGAGTGGCTGTGCAATCAGAAACTAGGATAAAAGAAATTTTTGTTTTTCAATTGAGAGACAAAAATATTGCATTCGAAAATTTAAAGAAAAACTGTATGAATGAAATATCAGAAAAAATAGCTTTTGACAAATAAAAATATAAGAGCAAAGATAAAATAACTTTACAGAAGCAATGGAATATAAAGTTGAAGAAATCTACCAGCAGTAAAATTTTTAAAAAAGAGATTGAGAAACTAAAATAAAAAGAAAATTAAAGAATTAGAGTCGGGCCGGACACGGTGGCTCACGCCTGTAATCCCAGCACTTTGGGAGGTCGAGGCGGGTGGATCATGAAGTCGGGAGATCGAGACCATCCTGGTCAACATGGCGAAACCCCATCTCTACTAAAAACACAAAAAATTAGCTGGGCATGGTGGCGCGTGCCTGTAATCCCAGCTACTCAGGAGGCTGAGGCAGGAGAATTGCCTGAACCCAGGAGGCGGAGGTTGCGATGAGCCGAGATCGCGCCATTGCACTCCAACCTGGGTAACAAGAGCGAAACTCCGTCTCAAAAAACAAAACAAAACAAAAACAAAACATTAGAGCCTAAGAGGCCTTATATCTGAATAATTTGAGTAAAATAAAGGGAGGACCAAGAAGTGGAGGATATTATCAAATTACTAATTCAAGAAGTTCTCACAAGTCTGATACGAGTTTTCCAATTAGGTGGCCCATTGATTACCCAGTAAAATGTTTAAAACTAGACACATGATAGGGCACATCATTGTAAAATATCAGAAGCCTGTGGACAAATATTTAAGTCTATGTATTTCCAAACTGGAAAAAGAAATAGTTTTTATACAAAGGATCAAGAAACAGAATAGCATCAAACTGCAATAGTAGCCAACACTAGAAGCTAGAAGACGATGGGACATTGCTCCAAAATTTGGACAGAAAACTAGATTATATACCTAGTTCAGAAATCAACTAAAAGTAAGGGTAGTAAAGGATACTTCAGACATAAAGGCTATCAAAGAACATGATTTAAATGAGCCCTTTTCTAGAAAGCTAGTGAAGGTTTCTTCCTCTGATACCAAAGAGTAAACTTGAAAGGACAGGAAAAAGGATATTGTACAAAGGAAAAGTCTAGGAAATATCAACATGATGGCGAAGAGAAATCCCAAGACGATAGTCACACCTTAGGCAGAGGGAGCAATGGTGAGAGATTTGTAAGAAGGATTAAAAATGATGGAACATCTGTAAAAGAGGATTAACATGAGAGAGATTCGTAAAAAAATGATAGAGCAAGTAATATATTTGAAGATATTAAAAAGGAATGTACTCAAATTGGTGAGCATTTGAAGTTAAATTGAAAACAATGTAAATGCATAAAACAATAAATTTAATTAAGAGAAAACAAAAAGTTGAGCAAAAGAAGAAAAGTATAATATTTTGCCTGGATCAGCTATAAATACATTTTTTCTTCCAAGAAAAGCAGACCATCATGTGCAGCACCTCATTGCTGTGTCTCGAGTCTTGGAAGCTGAAATACTCTGTGTTCTCCTACAGACAGACTGAGAGAGCTTGGGGGTTCAAGCAGCAGAACGCAGCTACTCACAAACTCCTGACTTAACAGAAGAAAGAGACTCATCTCTCAGGAGGAAGGGCTTCCACTTTGAAAGAGCTTCTGGAGGGAAACGTGGAGTGTGCTTAACGGGAAAAGGAGACCAGCCTAGCAGCCAGGTCAGTGTAAATCTATCCAGGTGATCACTGGGGTGACAGATGTGGCAGCCAGAGCGCCTTCACATCCAACTATAAATAGTCTTAAATGGAATAACTGGTTCCAAACAATGAATAGGAATCTAATAAAAATTAAATCAGAACTATTTGGTGAGGATTTTGTGCCTAAGAGGGGGATGGTGAAAATGTTAAATCCTAAGAGCACCATATATATATGGTTTTATATTTATGTTTATATATAAAATCATGCCGGGCGTGGTGGCTTATGCCTGTAATCCCAGCACGTTGGGAGATGGAGGTGAAAAGATCACCTGATGTCGGTAGTTTGAGACCAGCCTGAACGATATGAAGACACCCTGTCTCTATTGAAAATACAAAAAATCATGCAGGTGTGGTGGCACATGCCTGTAGTCCCAGCCTCTCGGAAGGCTGAGGCAGGAGAATAACAAACCTGGGAGGTGAAGGTTGCAGTGAGCCGAGATGGTGCCATTGCACTCCAGCCTGGACAACAAGAGCGAAACTCCGTTTCAAAACAAAACAAAACAAAACAAAACAAAACAAAACAAAACAAAACAAAACAAAACAAAACAAAACAAATCAATAGGTAATATCTAGTGGAAAATTAAGAGGTACTAATGCACTCAAATTTTTTTAGAGAAAAAGAGGTAAAAAAAAAGTATTTTAAAACGTGTTAATGGTTATGAGAATAGAAAACTAGAGAGGCTGAATTCATAAAACGTATATAACTATTTGACCTTCAAAAAAATTCAGTATAATCTTGACAAAATTATGTCTTGTTTTTAATAAAACATAATTTCACTAAGAGTAAGATGTGGTACTGAAAATATGAGAGGTTTGAGGATAATTTTAGGCTGAAGATTTTGGAGGAGGAGAAGTACAGAATGATACCAGAATCAGATAGTGGCTTTGATGGTGGATAGCCAAAACCAAATGGAGTTGAAGCTCCAGGAGCTGGAAACGTTGAGAAACTGATAACACTGGGTTGGAAAGGTCAGCATGCAGAAAAGTCATGAGCTGCTCCATCCTTTTGGGAGAACGCTAATAAAAAACTCCAGAGGAAAATTCAGTTGCTGATTGGTAGCTCTAACACCTGAGCGGTGAAGAAAAAGAATCACATGATTTAAAGTTAAGGCGGTGAGGCAAATGAAAGTTGAAAATCGGTACTAAACTGTAAAAACACCTGAACTAGCAGCCCGCTGAAGAATTAAATTCTAGCATTCAAACACATCTTCCCATGAATGTGCTCCTCTAACTTATATACCCACGAGTTTATGATTCTCGAAAGAAGAGTTCTCAGGGACAGGGAAGATTTCAAAATTGTTTACAAAAGGGAAATATAATAAATAACTGCTGTATTTACATTTTTTTTTCAGGTTTTATACATTTTGTGCTAACATCCTGACTTCTAAGCTGGAGATACAGCCAAGAATGGGCATTCCATTAGAATGTCAAACCATACTAAACAGATCATTCGAAATTTTTTGTTTGCCTCATGCTTTTTGATGCCACGTTCTCTTTTTTAAATCATACTGATTACAATTGCAAGAAAGTATGACATAAATGCTTTTTATCCTGATACATTTGGATAAAAATAATGAAAACTCAATAACTCTTTCACTGTAACGCTTCATGGAACAGTCCAATTGTTGCAAGAAGAAGCCCACCACACGTGGATTTTTCAGTCACTTAACTCTACCTCTCAGGTTTTCATGGCAGCCATAACACTATATGGGAAGAAGTTATTTCCATCTTTTCTTTTTATTAATCTTTAGCATTTAAGCAAACAAGTATAGTAAATTGCTATTGGGGTGGGAAAGAGAAAAGAAGAAAACAGGATGATTTATAGATTCTATCTTGTTTTACATCCTGAAAATGCAAAACAAAAAATAGTATATGGAGTTGTTGAGGAAAACCATATATGGAATTCCACTGTGGAAATTTTATAATCACATCCTTAAAATTAACTACAATTTAATTACTTTGGAAAAAAATCTACATGCGCAAGAACCACTATGGGAAGAGAACCACTGTGATGAAAGAAACAAAGAGAAATTAAATTCAAATCAGAGTATTTGCTTAATAGCTTAGGCAGTTGCTAATGTTTGTATATTACACTGAATTATAATGCTTGGATAATGAATTTGTTGCTTTTTGAAAAGTCATGAACATTTCAACTCACAACTTCTCATACTAAACAGATATGCAAATATTGTTAAGATGATTGTCTATTTTACAATAAGGTTAATTTTGGTAAAAGGCACATTAACTCTATAATCATAATAGAGCTAATCAAGACTGGATTTGATAGAGAAAGCAATGAAGGTAAATGTTAAAGAAAAAATAGCCAATTTGGATAATTTAGGCCAATGTAATAATTTTTGTTTTTAAATAGAAGGGCTGGATTCTTTTAGCCTGATGTAAAATGAAAAAGGGATGATTTCTTTTCACTTACTTCTTTTGCAGAATTTATTAAATATATTTTGATTTTGTATTATTGTAGACTTGAAGAAGGTAAGGAAATCTTGAAATCATATTATTGCTATGTAACTAATATTGAATATATGTTTTGCTCAAGAAATGTGATAAAACATCTATGGATTATTTTCACTTCAATTCCAGTTATTTCTATGAAGTAGATGACGATGCATGTATATTGTATTCTGTAAAGTATTTGAAGACACTTGTATATATAGACAGTACATTAATTAGATGCCAATATTAAATGTTTATTTTTAACATTAGAAATTTTAGTTCTTAACACTTTAGAGGGTAATCTATCTAACTAAGACATCATTCCATGTAATTATGAATATATGATATATTTCAAACATAGACTCAGAATTTTGAAAAAGGAAGTGACTTCTGATCCTGTAGGTTCTTTCTGCTCATATCATAGAAGGGAACTGAGGCTCAGTGAGGTTACATTATTTGACTAAGTTCACATAGTTAATTAAATAATTATACTTTTATTTACATCACAAATATAAAATCATACATGTATTTATAAATGAGAAACAAAGACTCAAAGTGACTTGTCTCAGGACAGGCAACTAATTGTTGGAAGATCTGAAAATCAATCATGAGCATGCATATATATATACATTTTTATTTCAATAGCTTTTGAAGTACAAGTGGTTTTTGGTTAAATGGAGGAATTATATAGAAGTAAATTCTGATATTTTATTTCAACTGTCACTGGAGTAGTGTATATTTCCAGGAATTTATCCATTTCTTCTAGATTTTCTAGTTTGTGCCTCTAAAGGTGTTCATAGTAGCCTTGAATGATCTTTCGTATTTCTATGGTATTGGTTGTTAATAGCACCTGTTTTGCTTCTAATCGAGCATATTTGAAATCTTCTCTCTTCTTTTCTTGGTTAATCTTTCTAATGGTCTATCAATTTTATTTATTTTTTCAAAGAACCAGTTTTTTTTAAAATTTCATTTATCTTTTGTATTTTTTTGTTTCAATTTTATTTAGTTCTTCTCTGATTTTTTGTTATTTCTTTTCTTCTTCTGGGTTTGGGTTTGATTTGTTTTTGTTTCTCTAATTCCTTGAGATGTCACCTTAGGGCGTCTATTTGTGCTCTTTTAAACTTTTTGTTGTAAGCATGTAATGCTATAAACATCCTCTTAGCACCAATTTTGCTGTATCTCAGAGTGAAGGGTTGTATCACTATTATCATTCAGTTCAAGGAATTTTTAAATTTACATCTTGATTTCATCTTTACCCATATATCTCTCAGGAGTAAATTATTAAGTTTCCACATATTTGAATAATTTTGAGGGGTTCTTTTGGAGTTGATTTCTAGTTTTATTTCACTGTGTTCTGAGAAGAAACTTGATATAATTTTGAGTTTTTAAAATTTATTGAGACTTGTCTTGGGGCCTATCATATGATTGATATTTGAAAATGTTCCATGTGCTGATAAGAAGAATGTGTATTCTGCAGTTCTTGGGTAGAATGCCTTGTGAAGTTCATTTATTCTTGGATGTCACTTAAGTCCGTTTGTTTCTCTGTTGACTTTCTGTCTTGAAGATCTGTCTAATGTGGTTCAATGGTGTATTGAAATCCCCCACTGTTACTGTGTTGCTGCCCAGATCTAGGAGTAATAATTCTATGAATCTGGGAGCTCCAGTCTTTGATGCATATAAATTTAGCATTATCATATTTCTTTGTTGAATTGATGCCTTTATAATTATATAGTGATTATCTTTGTCTTTTTTTGCTGTTGTTGCTTTGAGGTCTGTTTTGTCTGACATAAGAATAGCTACTCCTGCTCGATTTTGGTTTTTATTTGCATGAACTATTTTTTTATCCTTTAACCTTGAGTTTATAGGAATCCTTCCATGTTAAATGAGTCTCTCGAAGACAGCTGGTAATTGGGTTGTGATTTTTTAAATTCGTTCTGCCATTCTTTATCTTTTAAGTGAAGCGTTTAGGCCATATATATTCACTGTGAATATTAAGATGTGAGGTACTGTTCTTTTCATTGTATTCATTGTCACCTAGATGTTGTTGTTGTTGTGTTATTGTTTTATAGGCCCTGTAAGTTGTATGCTTTCAAGAGGTTCCATTTTGGTGCATATCAGGCTTTTGTTTCGAGATTTAGAACTCCTATTAGCATTTCTTGTAGTGCTAGTGGTAGTAACAAATTCCCTCAGCATTTGTTTGTCTCATATGATTTTAATTCTTCATTTATGCAGCTTAGTTTTATAGGATGCAAAATTTCTGGGTAACAGTTGTTTTGGAAGCTGAATACAGGAACCCAATCCCTTCTAACTTGTAAGGTTTCTGGTGAGAATTCTGCTGTTAGTCTGAGTTTTCCTTTGTAGAATACTTGATGTTTTTGTCTTACTGCTTTTAGAACTCTTTCCTTCCTGTTGACTTTAGATAGCCTGATGACTATATGCCTTGGTGAGGATCTTTTTTGGCAATGAATTTCCCAGGCATTCTTTGAGCTTCTTGGATTTGGATATCTAGATCTCTAGCCACACCAGGGAACTTTACCTCAATTATTTTAGTAAGTTTTCCAGACTATTTCTTCTTCTCTCTCAAAGACACCAATTATTCTTAGGTTTGGCCATTAAAAAAATCTCATATTTATTGGAGACATTTCTTTTGATTCTTTTTTCTTTATTTTTTTCTGATGGGTTAATTCAAAAGCCTTGTCTTTGAGCTCTAAAGTTATTCCTTCTCTTTGTTCTAGTCTCGTTAAAACATTCCATTGCATTTTGTAATTCTCTAAGTATGTCTTTTATTTCCAGAAGTTATGATTGGTTTTTCTTGATGATATCTATATCTTCAAAAAATTTTTTAGTCATATCCTGAAATGCTTTTTAAATGTCTTTATGATGGTCTTCACCTTTCTCTGATATCTCCTTGAGTAACTTAATAATCAATCTTCTGAATTTCTTTATCTGCTATTTCACAGATTTCTTCTTGGTTTACATCTATTGTTGGAGAGGTAGTGTGATCTTTTGGGTTTGTTATAGAGCCCTGTTTTGTCATATTACCACAGTTAATTTCTGGTTCTTTCTCATTTGTGGAGACTATTTCTTCTAATTTATTCTTGAATTTATTTTTGATTTGTCTGTTCTTGTTTTTAATTTACTTTTCCCCTTAAGGATAAGACTTCAATGTTTATAGTTAATTGTAGCCTAATTTGGTTCTTTTGTGGTATCAAGAGTGAAGATTGTAAGATTTCCTTGGTTACAAAGAGTCTTTGTATAATGGCTTTCTCATATGTTGGTTGTAGTAGCAATGTGCTCAGTGTGTGTACAAGTTTACTGTCTCCTGTGGGGTTGGAATAATAGACATCTCCTAAAGCATATCTCATTCCTCCATGGCATACACTTTTATATTTATTTATTTTCCTCCAGTATTTTATTTACTGGTTTGATGGTTCAGACCTTGGGCCAGTAGGGGAGGTGGTAGGAACTGGTTGTGGCTCCAGCAGGTGGGTAAATGCAATACCCAGTGGTGGGCAGAGGTCTCGGCCTTGATAGAAGTGGCTGGAGGAGCTCTCATGGAGTCACACTGAAGTCTTACCAGGGGGAATGGTAGGTTCCACTTCAGCTCCCCTGCAAGGTCAGCAGGAAAGTTATCCATTTCTCTGATACGTCTGACCCAGAGCTCTAGGTAATCAGATCAGATAGCCACTTCTTTTCATTTGTAGGAATGTTGATGTTCCAAGTAGAAACATTGTGATTCTGTCTTTCGGGCAAGCCTATATTTGGAGGGTACTCCTGTGGGGATGCAGTCACCCCGATGTGTCCCAAAAGACTGTCTTCGGTCGCACCCATGCCAAGTTCACATGGGAGAAGCCTCAACTGTGCCAGTGGTGGTGGGCAAGGGGGAAATACAGCCTTTTCTCCAAGACCCTTCATGTGAAACAGAACTGTCTGAACGTTGGGTTAGAGCTGAAGACTTTCCCTGCTGAATCCAGCACTGCAACTCTGTCACTACTTAAAGAAACTCACCAGTGAAAAGATCTTTTGCTTAAGGCCAACTGTCTAGATTCTTTTGCCCCACAGGGTAAGGTACTCCCTTGATGTGGCACACTCCCTCTTGCCCTGGGAGTAGGAGTCCCTGGGAGCCAGAAAACTGTGAGTGTTCTTGCTCCTCTGGGTCTAGAGGGCCAGAGAATTTGCCACAATCCAGGCTGGTGCTCAGAAATGTCTGCAGGACATCTGGTAATGTGATCTATTATTG